CACTCGGCTAAAACGCGGCGGAGCTCCATCATGCATAAACCGCATACGAAGTCTAATATCGACTGGAACTTCCTCTAATATATCGTGTAAACGTGTGTTCAAAAAATCAACGTACTTTGTGCCTGTTAGTTTCCCACCAAGAAAAAAAGGTACAATTAAAAATTTATCAATTATTCCTGCCCATACGTTTAGACTAAACTGGTGTTGATGTCTTGAATGCACAATAACATGTGAGTATTCTTCATCCCAATTATGATTATTATGAAAATTGAATATACCATCCTTGGTAAAAATAGCTTCATCACTATTATATTATTATATTATTATTATACTATATTATATTATTATTATATTATTATTATACTATATTATATTATTATTATATTATTATTATACTATATTATATTATTATTATATTATTATTATACTATATTATATTATTATTATATTATTATTATACTATATTATATTATTATTATATTATTATTATACTATATTATATTATTATTATATTATTATTATATTATTATATTATGGAAATTTATATTATTATTATATTATTACATTATGGAAATTTATATTATTATTATATTATTACATTATCTATGGAAATTTATATTATTATTATATTATTACATTATCTATGGAAATTTATATTATTATTTATATTATATTATTATTATATTATTATATTATCTATGAAAATTTATATTATTATTTATATTATATTACTATATTATATTATTACATTATCTATGAAAATTTATATTATATTACTATATTATATTATTATTATATTATCTATGAAAATTTATATTATATTATTATTCATATTATATTACTATATTATTATTATATTATTATTATATTATCTATGAAAACTTATATTATATTATTATTTATATTATATTACTATATTATTATTATATTATTATTATAGTGACCAAATATAATTATTATATTATCTATGAAAATTTATTATATCTCATAAACGAAGACATTATTATTTATATGGCTTTTTTTCATTATTTTTAGGCGTACAATCAGCTGCCGAAAGTTACGAATCCCACAAGTTACGAAACACCCTGTATATAATTTTCATTAAACACTTATCAAACGTCTGAACAGTGTATTTTTAACACTAGAACTACCAAAGCAATCAAAATGACTAATTTATAACTTTCTATGGAAATTTTATATATCTACAGCAGTGTTATTTTACACTCGAGTGACTTTTAATAAAATATATTAATAGAAGCTTGTGTCCTTTGTTGCATTGCTAACTTTTCCTTGTACAATACTTTGCGCTTGAATTTCTCTGCTATAAATATTATAACATTTTCGTCGGTAGTTTTACTGTTAAAGATTTAAATAATTTTTTGTAAAATATATAAATAAAAGTATATTCTTCGTTATATTATAAAGTTTCTCTATTTCTTTTTAGAGGAGGGGGAGGCTTCAACGTCTGTGATGGAAATTTTATGCTTTAATCGTCGGTTAGTTCTAGCGTTAATACGAGAGGCAGCTCAAAAAGTACGATAAGTTTCACTCGCTTCTAATTTTTTGTGCGTTGAAGATATTTCTTGAAATTTCTCAGACATTTCTATGAAACTTGATAAGAACAATGTTTATTTATTGAAGATAAACAAAGCTTATTTATTACGTAAATAAACTTATTCATTAAAGAACAATGTCTATTTATTAAAAATATTCCTTGAAATTTCTTTGATATTTCGATGAAACTTGGCCGGGACAATGCTTAAGTTACGTAAATTTATTTATTAAAGAACAGTATTTATTTATCAATGTTTCTTGAAATTTCTTAAACAATACCTTTGCTCGAAAGTGGTAGAAAAGCTACTGCCATCGCGCGACAAACGTCTCAGTCGACACGTAGAAAAAAATACATTGTATATCACGAAATAATAAATAAACAATTAATTTAAAAGAAAAGAAATGAAAGCAACTCGTTACTCATGTTCAATAAGTGTGAAACTTTTCCATTACTCTGGCAACTGATTAATTCGAGTTAAACTGCAAAACGAGGAAAACGAGCGGTTTCATGGTTCAGCCACGGAATTTCTATCCGAGGCTTTCGCGAAGCGACGAGGGAAGGGGCGAGAAGTCGCGAGATCGGTTTGAATCCAACCGTGACGATATACGACAGCGCGAAAGCACAGACAGAAATGGCCGGAAGTGGATAGGTGGCGAGTTCGAACGTCACGTAGTTACACAGGATGCGACTTAACTCGACGAAACGGCCTGTATTAACTCGCTGTTTTAACAAGTTGTTTCCAGGATTACTCGACAATGTGCGAGCTGTTGCAAGGATGGCGGGGGGGGGGGGGAGGAAACGAACGTTGTCCCCCGGAAACGCAGTTGTCCCCGGAAAACTGGCTCTAAGCCACTTGCTCTCCCATCGATTTTTCCGTCGTCCAACCGGACGACGTCAATGCGATAGAAAGCGATGGAACGTTGCTTTCAGAGCTACGCCTGAGGTTCAAACGGCACGACGTTGTCCGCGAAACGTGTTTCCATTGCGACTTTCTCCATTCGGCAGCGTGAACTTCGAGAATTTTCTCTTTTTTCTGTTTTTTTCTTTTTTTTTTTCCGGAATACTCCAGAATTTTCGAGACTGTTTGACTTGCGACGTTGCGGCGTGACAGTTTGTACGAGTAATATTTGCATTTTCGTTGGATCGTTGACACCGCACGTTTTTTGAAATAATTTGACATAGTTGCGTGTTTCTTTTTTCGCGAAAGATTCAACGGTGTATAACAATTGAGATTTATTAATATTCACCTGCCGCCAGTCTTTATAACGCGAAATATTGTGTCTCATTACGTTGCACAACGTTATATAATAATGTCGTAATTATAATAGTATAATATGGCGTCGTGAGCTGCGCGTTATTAATAAATATAATTAAATTGAAACAATGCAATACTTGTTTGGATTTTCGCGAGGTAACTTTTCATTAAAAACACGTTACTCGCATTTGGTAGCGAACGCGATTGAAATTATTACTTTGAGCCGCCTTTGAATCAAAAGCTGAACTTCGTATCTATTCTAGACGACAGACGATAATCACTATAGACTCACGTATAATTTTCGTCATTAATAATGATCGTCGACAACGAAGAGAAATCTCTTGTCATTCGTAATTAGTAATCAGTTACTCTCTACCGCGAGATTTTTCGAAAATTCTTTCAGATCGATATCCTTCAATTTCAATAATAAACCTAGCTTTTTCGCCAACAGAACTGTTTTCTTTCTGATAAAATAACAGAATAACAGAATAATAGACGTCCAGGAACTAACAGTTACGTTTGGTCCCCGGTTATACGATCGTCTCTTTACAAAATTGTATCAGTTTAACTCATCGTGGTCTTGATTTTACTAAAAAATAAGAAAAAAAAAATGGAAATTTTCTTTTCACTTAATAAAATATATTTATAATATATATTTCATTAATTAAAATGTAACGTTAATAAAGTTGAAAATATTATACACATGCTCGAACAACGGATGTAGAAATTTCTAATATTAATAATAAACTTTGAATAATTATAGTCAGAGTTAGCTAGAACTGAAATTCCTTAATAGAATGAAAATTGAATGACCTGAAATTAAAGGTGATGCTCAATTTTCGTTGTCGTTGGCACAGCTGCATTTTGTAGGTAGAAAAAAAATAGAGAAAAAAGGAGAAGACAGGAAGCCTGTAGCGACAAGAGGACAATCCGAGTAATACGAGGAAATCGCAATTTTAAGATCTCCTCTAGAACAAGACTAGACTCTCTCTCTCTACACTTCATAAGATCCAACGACGGGATTAAAATCTGCTCGTAAAGCGGAGCCAGTCTCGTAGCTCTGCTTTTCAGCCTCGTGCTGTTACGAGCCTCGAAATAACGACGTCGCGAGCAAGATTCTGGACAACAGGGTTGATAAAATTGCCGGATAAGACGATACCTTTCATTTCGGGCATCTCCTGATTCGCCGATTCGCTTGCATTACTCTATTCCACATCCATCTCTTCTACATACACCTGCGACTTGTTGTTCGGAAAACAGAAATTACGAAAGATGACGGAAACTCTTATCGTTAATCAGGACACAGAACGATTTAATCCGGGAATTCGGAGGTAATTTAACATCGAACCACAAAATTTCCATCCGTGGGGGCTTTTAAAGTGAAAAAAGTAGAAAACCTTTATGGTATGCTACGAGTGGCAAAAGCCTTTCATTTATCAAAAATCATCATTTAAATCTCTACAAATTCGCTTTATCTACAAAAATTATTAAACTTTTATTTCGACCACTTTATGTTCGATCTTGTCTACGTCCAAAGTGCGTTTTATGCGATTACTTCAAACTATGTCACATAATGACAGGGTCAATTTGCACGTTTTCCTAGAGCGCGACGACCGCGAGACGATATTTCTACAAACAACCGCGCTCCGGCTAACGGAACATCCCCTTATCTCGCATATTCCCTCGATCTCCTTTTTTCACACTGGTTCTTAATAAATCCCAGGGCTTAGCGAGTAATCCCCAACTAAAAGTCTCTTCAAATCACCTTCAACTCTCTCTCTCTCTCTCTTTTTCTCTCTGTATGATTCATCGTACAGTCGAACGGGCTTGAACGTGGCGGAACGAGCTCGAGAGGAAGAAGGGAAGAGTGGTAACGAACAAAGCGGGAAACTTTCCCCGTTTGGAAAAACAACGGAGGCAGGCCAGGCTCGCAGGCCTGTATAATCCGCGAAAAAGGCGTTTCGCGGGGGAAAACATGATTTTTAATCTGCGCGCGCGGAACGGAAAAGCGCGTGGACCGGTGTGGCCGGTCTCAATATCCGCCGGCTGATACACAGTGTGTTTTAATAAGAACGTGGACGCCGTTTCGCTGAAACGGAACGTTCCTTTTGTAAGAAGAAAAAAAAAAAAAAAAAAAATTTGCATGGATCTAAAATACTATTTCGACCCACGGCAGACTTCGAGACCGAATTTAGTAGTCGCTAGCTGCACCGAGAACGGCGAAATTCTTCGTTTGGTGTGCGTTTTTTGAGAAAGTATATATTGAAATAATCAAAACACTGAGTTCCACTACATTGAACCAATATTATTTGTTATTATATTATTATATTATTATATTATTATATTATTATATTATATTATTATATATTATATTTATTATTATGTATTATACTAAAAATTTAACATTAATTAAGCTTTTTATAACAATCGTCAAGGAATTTATGAATAATCGTTTATTATTATATATTATTATTTATTATTATATATTATACTATATATTATTATTTATTATTACTATATATTATTATTTATTATTATATATTATACTATATATTATTATTACTATATATTATTATTTATTATTATATATTATACTAAAAATTTAATATTAATTAAGCTTTTTATAACAATCGTCAAGGAAATTTATGAATAATCGTTTATTATTATATATTATACTAAAAATTTAACGTTAACATTAAGCTTTTTATAACAATCGTCAAGGAAATTTATGAATAATCGTTGGGGATATATATATATATATATATATAAAACAATGACTAAGGAGATAAACACACAGTCGTTGTCAAGTAATTAAAAAAAGAGAGTTTTGAGCATAGAAAGTAGTTAAGTCAATTCGTTGTAATTTACATTGTATAAGAATAAATATATATATATATATATATATATATATATATATATATATATATATATATATATATATATATATATATTGTTGCATACATCTTGTTTAATATACGTTCCAAAAATAAAGTACGTAGTTATTCTTTCTCTTTGTAGTACGATGATTGCACCAAGTTATCAAACAATCACATCGTATCTACAAAATATGAATATACACATGTATCATTTGTTGTGTCACGTATTGCATGTACCTTTTCTGACCATTTTGTTCTCTCAATTTTAAAGGATATAAAAAGAGATAAGAAAATTTAAATAATATATGACTGGCGGAATATGTAATTGTTAAATTAATATTCACTTACGTCTGGTTCAAATGAGATTTGCTGGAATTATGGTCCATAAAAATTTCCCGGGCGCCTATAGGCGCCTCTCGTGTCAACGGGATGATCAAAGTAGATCAAGCGCCTGTAGGCGCCTACAGTGTCGTGAGAGCAATTTTTTCAAGCGCCTATAGGCGCCTACAGTGCCGCGAGCGCAAATTTACCAAGCGCCGTTAGGCGCCAACAGTAGTCGAAGATTTAATAGCGTATTCGACCTCCATCACCAGCGATGATCGCTTGGAACCGACGAAATTGGTGTTTTCTACCAATTTTTTTTTTTTTTTTCAGCATACGAGACTGGTAAAGACACAGGGTGAAACTATCGACAAGTGAAGGAAATTAAAATTTCCATCCAGTGACGCTAAAGCAAAAGGAACGGAAAATCTTTACAGTACAGCAGGATTTATAGTACACAAGATTTCGTTTGTGTATTTTATGAAGAATCATTTCGATTCGAATGAAATTCTTTCCAAAAAAAAAAAAAAAGAAAACGCTCGAAAACGATGGAAATTGCGCGTCGAGGGATGCTTCCGGCCAGAAGCAACGCTTTTCGGACAAAATGGATTCGAAAGTCGCTGTACAGGCGTGTGCACGTTGTTTATTAATGGGCCATCGTCGGTGAATAAGCGCGCTCGTCGTTCTCTATTGTCGGAATATAAATTAGAACTTGACGGTTGCGGCATGCGTGACCGAATCATCGAGTATACTCGTTTTTAGGTTATGTATACTACGTCTGTATTTCTGTACTTTGTTCGATTTCACGATTTGTCTTTCGCTGTATAATGTATCGTGGTGACTCGATGTGATAGATATTTGATAAAAACTTACGAGTTCATTCTAAGAGTCTCCTTTGACACGAGCTGATCAATGTGTACAAATTCATAATGATTCTGTTATCCTCGTCTATTATTCATTATCATTCAACAATATTAATTGATCGAATTCATAACGATTCTGTTACTCTTTTTTCATTATTTATTATTATTATTCGGTAATAGTAGGGGGCAACTTGTACATAATAATAAGGAATAGATAAAAAATTAAGGAAGGGAGGGGATGTTCTATTATTCCCTTATTTCAAAGTTCTAATATAACTGTATCAGCCTAACACGTTAGGTATCACATACACTTCAACTGGTTGGTTGACAAAAATATTAATATAAATAAAGGAATGAAAATATCTATCAATAGTAAAACAATAGTATCAAAATGTTCTCTATATAAATCATTATAATTTAAATTATAATTAAAATAAAAAATTAATATTAATTTTTAACAAGGATATCTTTTAAGCAGCTGTCAAAAACGAAAGTCTGAAATTAATTGTACTGACGTTCGATCGTTAAAATAACAATAATTTATAGAACTTGTACAATGATAGTTCTGATCAATA